TACAAACATTGGTGTCCCGAGGTACAATCCATGATTGTACCTTGGGACAAATATCTGCAAATAATTATTTGACATTTTCTCATAAATAAAATAGCATAGGGTCAAGTGTTGCACCATATTTAATGATGTTATCAATTACTAATAGAAATATTCAATAGTCATAGCTAAAGATCAATTTGAACTTAAATTATAAAGGTTTAAAGAAAAGCGTCCCAAAGTAGAAGGATCTCCCCTAGATGAAAACCTATTCCAGGAAATTGGTTTGCTACGGGATTTGATTTTGAATGAAAGAGATGTAAATAACACACAAGACATATGCAATACATACTAAATAATAATTATAATGAGTTATTTCTAAATGTATTAACTGTGTTAAAACTTTTCTTTGCGTTGCCAGTTACTATAGCAAGTGCTGAGCGCTCTTTCAGCAAATTAAAATTAATAAAGAATTATCTTCGATCCAGCATGTGTGCAGAACGCTTAATGCATTTGCTATATTAAGCATCGAAAAAGAAATTGCAAAAATTATAATTTTCCTGAAGTAATTCGTGTATTAGCAAGAACAAAATCACGCTTTAAATAAACATGCATTAATATATGTTCGTGTTTGTAATTTTTTTTATTTTACAAAAAATGTAGGGCCCAATTAGTTTCTTGCATCCGGGCCCCTTTATAGAGAATGCCGGCCCTGTATACATGAAAACAAATTAAATAAATATAAAGCAAGGAATTTTTAAGGAGCTGCTATAGGTTCCCTCTAGTTTTGTCTTGACATTAAACTTACTGTCAACACATCTTATAGATACAAACACAACATAGCAACACAATGTATTGTTTCAATGCATGTAAGAGCATATTCTTATATGTGAGGTATACTCTTATACCAAAGCAGGACTGAAATGTAAATACAAGCAACATAAAACAGTTCTTGATGAGATAAAACTCTACTCATCTATATAAATGTAGCTAAGTCACCTTCTGAAAATTGGACACCATTACTTGACTGACTTACAAATGCAATTTGGCTAGACTAGTGATGCTCAAAATTTGGTGAACCAAGTTACACATTAGTTGTAAGTAGACAAATCACAAATATTTTGTATATTCCCTAGAAAGAGTTTACTGTTTCAATATATCATTTATAAGTGATGTGTTAAATATATTCATGGGTTGTATTAACAGATTAGTATGTAGTTTTCTACCCAGACTTTTTTGAATTTATATATGCTAAAGCTTACTCTTAGGGTGCGTTTACTTCTGAGTTAGCAGTGCTAATTCTGATAACCGGATGTGACGTCATTAGCACGTTTATTCGTGCTTGCTTGTCCAATTCGAAAGTGAACACATACGCTAACAAGAAATATGGCGGTTTCCAGCCATATTTCTTGTTAGCGTATGTGTTCACTNATGTGACGTCATTAGCACGTGTATTCGTGCTTGCTTGTCCAATTCGAAAGTGAACACATACGCTAACAAGAAATATGGCGGTTTCCAGCCATATTTCTTGTTAGCGTATGTGTTCACTTTCGAATTGGACAAGCAAGCACGAATAAACGTGCTAATGACGTCACATCTGGTTATCAGAATTAGTACTGCTAACTCAGAAGTAAACGCACCCTTAATTTCATATCTTTAAGTTAGAAATGTGAAAATGTTACACAATGGATGGGAGAAGGCATCAAAAAATAGGATAATGTGTGCTAGGGACAGTGGAACAATGAAAAACCTTTAAAAGTGTAAGAGTGAACAAAATTTGTATTAATTTTATTCTAATTTTATTTTTTGTACCAAAAAAAATTTGACAAAAAATAATGTTTACATAATATATCATGGTCAGTTTTGAATATTTATTATTGTCAATATAATTCAGTTTATACTTCTAATCTAATAGAAATAGTAATCTTTGAAAAACATTGGATAAAAGCCTCCAATGTACTTTTGATGCATTAACTTTGCTTTTCTTGTACAGCCTGCAGCATTTCTTTTCTGTTGACAGATATTATCCAATAATAATTTATATGAAAGCAATTGTCTGTTAGGATCATTAGATTGCTTTTATCTTTGTGATTCTGTATCATCATATTTCAACAAAGCAGGTCACAAAATGCTTTGACATTTGAAAGGATAATGATTTTTTATCATTTGATGAGATTTTATGAAATATCAATTAGACATTCACAACAGAAATGTCTAACTAATATCAAAAATTGGTATCATTACTTTTGATGCATTCTGGTTGGAAATATGTATAGAACCCTTACTTTATTTCTTGTTTCTTTTGACTATCTGACCCTATTTTATTTTCTTCATAATTTGTTATTTTTTAGGATCTTCAATATTTTAACAACAGAAAGCATAAGTAAACAAACATATTTGTAAACTAGTAGTTGAAAAACAGAAGTGTTTCTTAAATTGTAAAGTATGTAAGCACAAAATGCCACAATGTGATTAGATTTGATTTATCCTTTTTGCTTCTATTCTGTATTTTTTAATCTCAGAGATATTATGAAGTGGAGAATTATCATAAAATATGATTTTGTATCATAGGAGCATCCTACAATGTAAGATACAGTAGAGCATTGTTTATCTGAATCAATTGGGGACTGAGGTTGTTCAGATAACTTATTTTTCGGGTAACCGATTATGTACGAAAAAATATATTAACCTAACCCATGTTGAAATTTTTCTCCGTTGCATATTGCTTTGCGTTGAATTTCCGTTGATGTTAAGCCTAATGTAAACTTTTTAAAATAATAATCATGGCTATTGCAGCATTAAAAATTATTTTACTTTTTACAAACAAAATAAATGTATTAAAAAATATAAAAACAAAAAAATTATACTTTAGAAGTTAATCTAGTATTAAAAACGTTCGATTCAGCACGACACACAGTCCTCAGAAAAACACCACACAAATCTGCCAGTGCTGCCAGCTAAAACACACACACCAACAAAAAAAATATTGGAGTAGCCCAAGATATGCCAAAAATTGCAGGGCCACAGCATTAGCGAAAATTTAAGTTTGCCGACTGGAATGCTTTCAGTTAACTGGCTTTCAGATAAACGACGCTCTACTGTAAAAGATTAATGCTCCTATTAGGAGCTTAATATAAAGTACATGATAAATATTTAAGAGTTTAAAATTGGCCCATCTTTACTAACTCTGATTTCTCTAGCAACAAATTTGTTTCCATCTGTGTCTTTATAGCCTCGATTCCAGTATGCCAAACTCATAGAACATGCACAAGAAAAAACAAAGGAATACAACAACAAATTGAACTCAATACCAGTAATACAGTTGAATGTAAAACACATATTTAAAGCAATAAACATATATAAGATAGTACATTTATAATGTCATTGCTAATATCTCCTGAAATATGTGTTAAATTGAAAGTGTCTTATATGAAAGTTTGCACCTGTTTTAGGTTGAAAATTCCACATACAGTCAACCCCCCTATAACGTGGGTTCCTATAACAGAAATTCCTATAACATAGTGAAAAAATTGTAGCACTATTCGTATAAAGTGACTCGTAAAACATCGTTGCCGACTCCTGTCGCGACAAGATTGATTGAATCTGGACCAATAGTGGACGAGCAGCCAAACTACTTTCCTCCGCCGCCCAGCGCCACACTATGGAGAGTTTAGGCTGCTAAATTGAGTTTGCTATCGTCTGTACAGCATTACATATAAATTATATATAAATTAGGTACTGTATATATAATTATATATTAAATTAATTTATTGTAACTTTATTATAATTATATATATTTTTTCCGCCGCGTAGCGCCACGCTACGGAGATTTTACGCTAACTATCGTCTGTACAGTATGTAAATTAGGTACCGTAAGTCTAATACAGCACTAATTTTATACATTTCTTGTGAAAGAAACACTTCTTATTCAACGGCCATAAAAATTATTTATATTAATGATGTCTCCAAAGGTCAAGTTATTTTTCTGCGAAAAATTCGTTATCAGAAATCGCGGCCGCCGTTTCGTGCGCTGTTCCGCGACGAAAACAAGCTTGAGCAACGGCGTAGTCGAACGGTGCACACTCGGTAAGTAATCCTACAATTTTTTGTTTATAGCATAGTTTATATGGATTATTCCCAAAAAATTATACGTGTTTTGGAAATGTTGAGTGGAATTAGTCCAGAATTGGTTAATTTTATAGAAGAAAACCTTTCAAACAGCCTTAGTCCGTAAACTTCACACGTGTTGGGCTGCGATTGGCTCATGTATTTAATGATTCCTACAATGTAAAATTCGAATAACGTGGAACGTATCTAAGCGTTATAGGGGGGTCTACTGTAATACCTGAAACTACAGTGCATCAAATTGTATTGCATGCTTTTAGGATAAACTACTTACATTCACATAAAAGATAAATAATAATCAATAAATGCATAAGTTGTTTATACACCATTTATTACAAATGCCTACCACAATCAGTCATATTTTGTTTGATCATAAAAAAATTATCAAAAGACTAGACCACTTTGATAAACAAAATTACATGTATCATAGTTATATCCATTCCAAATTCAACAGACGAAATACATACCTGAAAAATTTAGTAAATAATTTGAGGCAATTCATAAAATAGGGTTTAGGTATAAATGTATTTGTGTCCATAGTCCTAGTATAAATATATCATGCCACATACACTAAAGTCTAGAAAAATAAACAACATACATCATAATTTAGTAAGCAGCCATGCTAAACACGTCATATACACAGGAAATTGTTAAATACAGATAAATATCCAGCATTATATGTACAAAATAAAGCTACAGTTGTCCCTCTATAGTCCGACGTTTTTTAATCCGACATGCTCAGTAGTCCGACGCACCTCCCGTCAAGGTACCCGTCCCCGTTATGTGTCTGCTTGCACAGAAGCATGTCGCGATGTGAATCTCCCCATCCAATTCTTACTCGATGACACACATTTCGTGTGTTTTATGTGAGCAGTTCTGTTCGAACAGTTGGAGTAGAGAATATTGTAAGTTACTGCTAGCAAAACAATGTGAAATATGTAATTATTTTAGGTAATCCAGACACTTTTGGTAATCTGACACACCTTTGGTCCCATACCTGTTGGATTATCAAGGGACAACTGTATTTTGCAGTTCTGCCTTGATCTTGCTTGTTCATTCAGCACTACGCACTGATATCAGCCAAGTAGAAAATACAGTAATGATCATCTTATTATAAATTATTTTAAAGATAAATCTCAATGGATTGCAGAATATTTAACTACTTTATGAAAAACTTTTACTTTAGTAAAATTAAGCATATTTAAACTTTTTATTTCTGTATCATCTATGCAATAATGCAAAATTGAATACCAACATATGAAAGATATTTCATATTAAAATTACATATTTAAATTTTAAAACTTTTATTTTATATTTGCAGTTGAAGCAGCAGATGCTAAACGTCAAAAACATATCAAGTCTGAAAAAGAAATGATCAGAAGTGTCGAATGTTAAATTGTTTAATTTGATTATGCTACAAAGACAATTACGAAGCTAGTCAAATTTCATAAGACATTTTCTTGTTGAAATTTAATGTTTTACACACTTACATATATAGTGAATACAAAAATATATAATTTCATGTGATATCAAGTTATAAGAATTTCCATATTAAATTTGTGAAAATACCAGTTTCTCAATTATTCCTATCCAATTTGAATGATTGGTTTGGATCTAAGTATCGAAAGAATTGTTATATATTCATGTGCCTAAATTTTGAAAATGCTGTTATGGTTATAGAAATAAAATTTTATTTTATTAAAATATTTCAGAATTTTACTAAACATGCTGATATTTACACATATTTTCACTTTCACTTGCATTCCAATCTGGAGTATCAAAATGTAAAGTACAGTGGTACCTCAGGATACAAAATTAATCTGTTCTGAAACTGAGATCGTATCATGAAAATGTCGTAAGGTGAATCATTTTTCCCCATACAATTACGTGTAAAACCAAATAATTCATTCCAACACGAAAAACACACTCAAATTAAAGCTAAGTTGTACATTAAAAAAAAAAAAATAACTATAGTAAGGAAAACACCGAAAAATGCGTTTTGTAGTTGTAAATGTATAAATAACCATAATAGAATAATAATTGATAAAAAAAAATGTAGTTTTATTTGCACTTTCTTTACCTTTGAGGATAGACAACGGTGGAGGTGTAAACTGGTAGCGGAAGAGAGGGAGAAGGGAAATGATACTAAAACTTAACTTACATAACATAATGTAACAATAACTTAAAAATAACTTAGAAAAGATTAAAAAAAAAAATTAGTGTTGTTTTATATATATTTTTAAAAATTTTTATTCACTGCTTTTTGCTTTCTTTCNTCCCGTGAGGTGGGGATCGGTTAGTCGGGTCGAGTGGCGGAGGATGAGAGGGTTCGTCGGTAAGGCGTCGGCGATATCCGAATAAAAGACACCATTAACAGATCAGTTCGTAATCACGTAATTACGTAATCAGGTTGTAATTTGTAAAGAAAAGTTACTTTTCATAGACGAGATTTCTTCTCGAGAAATATCGCTGAGTAAAGCAGCTACAGCTAAATCGAAAGTAGAGGGTAAGGCTATATAGTAGACTCTCCTATAACACTGTAGATATTTCCGTGTTATATGAATTCCATGTTGTACGAGTCACTTAGATTTTACAAATACGTGAGCCGTTCACAGCCCGACACACGTATTTGTAAAATCTAAGTGACCCCTACAGTGTTATAGGGGTCTACTGTACACGCCGTCGTTGCAAAAAGAAGTGTTCCACCAATAAATGCAGTTGTAAAAGCGAGGGACTCAAAGTGCCATAACAGTTAAAGTTATTGCAATAATTTTGGTACTTTATGACTATAGTAACTAGTGGTACGCTTAACTGGGGGAAAAAAGAGGGGGAGGAGAGGTCATCCCAATAGTTTGCAAAAAGAGGAAATTGCATGATTTTGAAAGACAAATATGTCAATTTTAGTATTGTTGTAAATGTATAAGAAAAATTTTAAAGTGTTTAGATTTTATAACAGTGAAAAACAGATAATTAGTTGGCTGAAGAGGGGCAATAAATGCCGGAAACGTGTGTAATATCAGTTTATTAAGACATATTTAAATTTTAATTACAGTTTTAATGTCAATTGATCTTCAATAAATACACAGAATGATTTGAATAAAAGTTGAATGTGATATACGAGGCATACATCTTTTTTAAACAAAGTACCTTAAAATTGCATTTAACAACATAAATACAAGTCATGCAATCCACAATAAAACAATTTTTGCAAGAACTGATGCATCTTTTTGTACATTCTCCTATAATACTTGTGTTTTCACAAATATTCGGGATGTATTCCACACCGAAAGATACGAAGCTATGATAAAACAAAATCGGTATGTTGGGAAATTCTTTACTAAAAATCTCCAGTTCCGGAAAGCCTGATCGATCGTTGCACCAATTCATGAACTTTTGGTTGAAATATAACAAAATACAATTGTTCCATGCAATGTTGTATTGCTTCAATTCTGTAACTTTCATTTGTTGTAATGTATGATCTTTTGGCAGATTAAATGGTATCAACTGAATAAAACTTGATGATAAGAATTGCCAAGTGCCTGAAAATAAATACGATAATTATTTGTGTTTGAATTACTACTTATTGCAATAAATAAGATTGTACAACGTCAATCATATAATTTATGTGTAAGTTTATTATTGTATTATATTCTTTAATGATTTAGAACGTACTGTTCATTTTAGGTTCAACAGTTTATTTACATGCGCCGTTACTTAAGCTTTCTCCTATTTTGACATATTAACGTAATAAAAATATTTTTATTGAGCATTCACCATCAGTGCGTGCCGAATGTCGACATTTGCCGGTGTAAGTGAGAAATGATTATATTTAGCAAATATTTCGTACATACACGAAACGACTGTGTGAATGTTGACATTCGCCAGATATCGGTCATTCACAGTAACATATACACAGTTTGAACAAACTTGTAATGCCCTAGAAGAATTTATTTATGTAAGTAACGATAATACAGCGGTATCCGACGCTAAAAGTCTATTGGATTCAATACAAGAAATGCCATTTATTTTATGGTTTGCAATGTTGTGTAAAATCAACGCTATCAATATTATTTCAAGCAAAAACAATTATTCTTGAGTCGGCTTTTAATTTAGTCAATAAAATTAAAACTGAAATCCAAAATTTAACACATTTTTAGACGAAGTAAAAGTGCTAGCACGTAATTTGAATATTTCAGAACATTTTCCTGAAAAAGGAAAAGGTTATACAGTATTCCGAAATAGCAGGTGAAGCTTTAGAAAACCCGGTAGAGGAATTTTACATGTTATTTTTTTAACACTCTAATTGATACTGTTATTGTACAAATAGAAGATAGATTTAAAAGTATACCAAATATTATTTCTGATTTCAAATTAATCACCTTAGAAAACATGAATTAGAAAAATGTTCCATTATAACAAAGATGTAGATGAAAACCTAATCCAGGAAATTGGTTTGCTACGGGATTTGATTCTGAATGAAAGGGATGTAAATAACACACAAGACATATGCAATACATACTAAATAATAATTATAACTGTGTTAAAACTTTTCTTTGCGTTGCCAGTTACTATAGCGAGTGCTGAGCGCTCTTTCGGCAAATTAAAATTAATAAAGAATTATTTTCGATCCAGCATGTATGCGGAACGCTTAATGCATTTGCTATATTAAGCACGAAAAAGAAATTGCAAAAATTATAATTTTCCTGAAGTAATTCGTGTATTAGCGAGAACAAAATCACGCTTTAAATAAACACGCATTAATATATGTTCGTGTTTGTAATTTTTTTTATTTTACAAAAAATGTAGGGCCCAAATAGTTTCTTGCACCCGGGCCCCTTTATAGAGAAGGCCGGCCCTGCAGCTGTCCCGTTGTGAGAACCCGCGATGGGTATGGAAAAAAGGCCCTCTAATATCCACAGAAGAAAAGAATTAAAATAAACGCACTAATTAATTTAAATACGAATCTTTGTTCAAAATATAATTTGTTTTGCTAGTTCTGATATTTCGTTGAATACATTTACGAAGAATTTTCCAATAATATCCGATTTGCACTTTCGCTCGACAAACAATTCCAGCGATACGAGAAGAATCAAACAAACAAAAACAATATTAATAGGAAATAATAATAAACAAATATATGCCGTTATTTCCGCCAATCGACATCGTATTTCACATATTTTGAAAGCGTACGCGTTATTTAATAATTTAAAAAACACCATTTAACACATTTCGCGTTAAACAGTTAAGGTATGTATAGCATTTTCGGCTACTTCTATCCATGAATTTTATCCCTAAATGCTTACATTAAAAATGCACAAATTCCTTACAGTTTTCCTTTAAAAAACATGAAGGTGATAACAGTTTTTTCAATAATTTTGCTGGTGACATTATTTTGTAAGTAAATTTCTATATATTAATTAAGGCGAACTCTTGATATAGCGAATATTTCGTAGGTTATTGTTTTATAGAGAATTCATTATTGTATATAAAGAAGTCCTTATACAGTGGAATTCTTTACTTAGACTATAGCTCAGAGTTCACTATATTGAGAGGATTGGATCGGATCGAATTGGTGGAACGTGGCAACGCAATACACGTATATGTCGAGAGGAGAGTGCCTTCCGGGAGGACTTTCTATGGGAAACTGGTCCCTATTTAAGTGTTGCAACGCGTAAAGAAAACTAGGAAAACTCCACGTGGCCATTCCGTCGGCCATGCTCGAACGCGCTACCGAGTATCGATGTTCTGTGATTTTTTTCCGCTTGGCCTTATATCAAGAGTTTGCTGTAAAGTTAAAAATTCTCGTTATTCTTAGTTGTTAGAATACGATATTCATGAATTTTATCTCCCTTTAAAGGTTTTATATCTGTAAGCGAAGAAGTAAATGGCGCTTATCCCACAGACGAGCACTGTTATCCCTACGCGTGCTTTCCTCTCGGAAAGAGCAGTAGATGCGAAAGAATTTGCAAATTGTTTGGTGTGCATTACGGCTATTGCTATTCATTTTCGTGTTATTGCGAAGGTTTGAGTAGAGCTAACGCAAATTATTATGCAAGATTTCTACCGGATGTCCCGTTTGAAATTTCAACGTCAACGACCACTCGTAAACCAACGACACAAAACACAACGACCCACGAAGCGACTACTCGTAAAGTATGAGAAGACAGAATGCGTTTCTTTGTCAAGCGGGTAAGTAAGCGAGCCAGTTCGTTTCGTATAAAACGATCTATATTATTGGCTCGCTTACTTAGCGCTTGATAAGGAAAAGCCCCCATACATAACCTCGAGAAGAGATAATTTCAGTTTATGAAAAACTTCTGTTATATTGATTTGGTGAATAAAATCTAAACAAAATCTGATTTTTATTGTTCTTACGTGTTAGTACGAGGCATTTTAGTAGGCCATATAGTATTCTATGTGGCTTACAGATTGGTGTTCGTTCTCAAAATTTGATCGATAAATTTTGATTACAATTTGAAATTTCCATAAATTGCAATGGAATTTCTAAAAATGTAATAAAAAATAGAGATGTCCATGACTTCGTATTCGAGATACGGTAGGGTCAAAGTGACAATGTCCACGCTCTCCGATGTCATTGTCTCGTTAATATGGAGATTTCAGCCTCTTTGGCTATGTTCTCCGAAAGACCGCCGTCTGGTGGTTAGTTTAGGCCAGTGTTTTTCAACCTGTGGGTCGCGACCCCCA